ATCCTTATTTTCAGGGTAGTCAGGAGTTTTGGGAAATTAAAATAAAAATCAATATTTGTGAATTCAATATTGAATAAATCAGTATTGGTGAGTTTCCTCCCCACCCCGGAGTGGGTCACCTTGACAATAGATGTTAATGTTCTTGATTACTTAGGCAGTTATATGGATAAAAAGCCGAATTTTCTCTGCTACTTCCCATTTATTCTTATGTTTTCCCATTCTCTAGATATTTCATGTTTTATAGTACCTGCTCTACTAAAATTCAAGGTCTGTAAATCTTGCTATGTACTGTAGTTTCCTGAGAAGAGAATGGTTTGTTTATTGCTCATAATAATGTAAAATAACGCCCTTGGATAACTGAGACATTATTCCATTGCTATAAAGAGGTTTTCCCCTGCAAGGGCCTTTTTGAAGACTTGAGAGGGAGTTTTAGAATTCTTTCCAAAGAGAAGCACTATCATTCTTCACTCATGTATTTAGACTATGTCAACACTGGGCATTGCTATATATAGTGTTAAGCAGAAGGGTACTGCAGGTGCTACCAAGCCTGCCCAAGTTGTGTTTTCTCACTTTGTGGGTCATAAAATCAAATCTGACAAATGGACGTTACCTTCTAGTATTTCCCCTTGGTTTTTACTCAGTACCTTCAGAACTGCTGTTACAACAATGATCCACAGGCTACCACTGATCTGCAGTAGTAAATTAAAGATCTGCAGACTAATGTAAATATTGTATCTACTCAATGAGCATTTTGTTTATTGAAGTGCAGTGTCACTTGCATCTACTATTGTGTGATGTGTTTTGCAAGTTGGGTTAGATTTGTTAGAGGCTCAGTCTAACTATGGAGCTTTGAGCTAAGGAGTTGGGAACCAATTAATTATCCAGTGCCTAATGTTTATGCAATTCGGCATATCTAGTTCCAGCATCTTTCAGTATATCAAAGGCCAGGTATGGATTATCTGGTCTAGAAATAACTCTTGATAATGTTAAATAATGGTGATATTCTAGTCATCTTTTGTGAAGACTGAGGAGGAAAAAAAGAACCCAGCATTTCAGGTATTTTTTGTATTGTTTGCTTGTTTTCTTAGTCTAGCAAAGAATTGCTGCTTTCATTTGTCCATCTTCTAGTATATTTATATAATTTCTTCTTTGCCTTTCCTGCCTCATAGTAGCTGTGTGTTACTCAGCATTGTTAGCTGCTTGACTTTTTTGTATATATTCCTCAACTATTTGCTTGTTATAGTAGTGACTTTTTTCTACTTTAAACATCTGAAATACATATTTAGTACTAAGTTAGTTGAGACATTTCGTCATTTTTCTATGTTGAGAAAGATGCTACCTTGCCCTAATTATCTTCCCTTTAACGTCTTCCCTCTGTTCTGTCCCTCGCTGATCAGTTACTTTTGGAAAGGGTTACACTAGTTGCATAATCCTTTGCCTTGACTGTTGTGGAGATGTGACAGTTCCCTTTGCACAGTTAACCCAGGAGCCACTCTAATTTCTGCAGCATTGCAGGCTGCGGTATTCTATTAGGTTGCACATTTGCCCCTGGGCTTGCTCATTCAGCCTTATTTAAACTGTCTCCAAAGGCCAAACAGGCTTTCTGTCATCTTGGTTCACATGTTGAAGACTGGACCCCAGCAACTAAAGGTTTTGTATGACTGAATTACATATTTACTTCTTTTTACTTATTAATGTTTACTCACTACATATTTAACTTATTTTCGTGGAAGCTTCCTGTAATGCTGGGATGCTTTTTTCCAAAGACTTGAGGTCGGTTTCCTATAATCTCTTAAGACTTTAATCTACTGTCAGTGTATGCTTCTGACAAGAAGTTGCATTTT